CCACGTTCACGTTCAGCTTTCAATTTATCCAAAACCCAAGCATATTTAAATGAACCTTTACCCATCTATACAATCAAGAAAAAAAAATAAACAATCATGGTTACAAGTAGAAAAGATTCGTAAATAGAAAAAAACATACTTCAGCAGCTTCTTTTTCGAATTTTTCGATTGTTCGTTTATCAATACCACCACATTTGTAGATCAAGTGACCAGTTGATGTTGATTTACCTGAATCGACATGACCAATGACGACAATGTTGATATGAATTTTTTCTTTTCCCATTGTGACGGATTACTTAGTGATATTTTTCAACGGATTGAAGAAAGGTGACCTAGAACGAAAATATTATTCTGTAACAATGTAAATGTAGCTTAAATTTCATGAGTTCAAAAAAAATGAACTCAATAAACTTTTACTTGGAAATATCCAAGAAAAATTTACGAGCGAAGAAATACAAGGATAAACTTTTTGTCAGATCATAAAAAAGTTTTTCTTTTTTTTAAAAAAACAATAAACGAAATGAAAATGAACGCAGACACTAAAACGTCTATTAGAGAAAAAACCTAACATCACCATCTGTTCTTGTCTTGCTTCTCTATCTCTACACGTAGACATTACATTCTATCCACCATATTTTAACTAACTACTTGAGATTGTTCTCTGACCTTCTCGAACGATGCGTTGTCTCCGACAGAATAAATATATCGATGAAGAATAAAACTTTTCGTAGAGGTTTGTACACATGTACTTAAATGTTAAACTTAAGTTTTTTTTTCAATATAAAACCTTTTAAAAATCCTAACTAACTTATTCAATGAAGAAAAATCATTGTTAAAAATTCTTTTTCGAAAATTTTCCTAAGAAATCGATAGTAGCGCCATATCCGTTATTGAAAAGAAAAAATGTTATCAAAACAAATGAGTCATACTAAAAAAAGATTAGATTAGTAATATATTTGATGATATTACGAAACATGTCAGACTTCTAAGTCCAAAATTTATGTACTTTAATATTGATTAAATAAAGAAAAAAAAGATAATTTATATTTATAAACATGATGTACTAAGAAAGAAGAATACAAAAATCAATAGTTTATTTTATATCAGATGAATAGAGTACTTGATTAACAAATGATAAATCTAAATCACACACTGGTGGAATTGCATCTGTATTTAAATTTTTAACATTCATTTTCTTTCGTGTATGACGATCTAAATAGAACATTTTTTTTTAATTTTCATATGTTTTCTTTTACTAATCTTCATTACACACCTTGAATTAATTTCATACTATCTAATGATGGTACAGATAAACTGTTTACTAGACAATTAACAAGAACAATACCAATTAAAAGAGTTACAACTAAAATAGCAATTGCAATTGACCAATATCTAAATAAATATAATCATAGAAAGAAACAAAATGTAGTAATAGTTTATGTTTATTACTTATGAGGATAATATGTAATACCAATATTTTCAAACCAATTATTTGGTAAATATGCCCAAAGTAAATAGATTACTGTTAGAGAAAGATAATATAAAAAGAATTCTAATAATTTTAATCTTACTAAATGTAAAAATAGATGCAACATAGAGAAAAAAACCAATAATAGCTCGTTCAGGAGAAGGTAATGGTGATGGAGTAGTAGACATCTGCAAATCAAAAAAAATTCTAAAGCGAACTAATGATGTAAAATGATCATATTGGAATCAACATCTTTTATTATTCTCCAATATGAATTGAGAATCTATCGTTAGATGCTATTAGTTAATAATGTTTCATAGAGCGTAAAAAATCAAAATGTATATCTAATAAAAGAGAAAATGTTTCTTTACAGAATAGTACTATGATTATTGATTTCGTAAAATGATTTTCATGTACATTTTTCTTATTACTAAGTTATTCAAACAAAATTAAACTTTACAATGAGTTACTGTAAGATTGTTGGCTTCTATCTCATCTTTATGCTACATGAAAGTTTAGTAATACAATATATGAAATGTTGAATAGTGATTTATGTAAACCGAAGCTGCTATCAAGTCACTTTTTGCTAGCTCGGAATGCCTACAGATCGATTGATGTTTCTAATTTTTCGAATATATTTAATTATATAACTTTACATTAATGTATCATTCTAGTTTCGATTGTTCACCTAAAGTCTTCGTACACACTGACAAACTACATAATATCCATGAGGACAGGTGTACGTTACAACTTAGTCAGCATGCTCTCGGATGGATGATCCAAGAGAAACAGTCGCTAGTAACTTGTTCAAGGTCATCCCACAGCTGATAGTATCGAAACTTGAGTGCAGTACCTATTGGATGCATGCCGAACAATGTAGTCTCTCAGCCATGACGACTGAAGCAACATATGATTAGGTATACAACGAAGAGATAAAAGAAAACCTAGAGAATAAGTGATACTTATAATAGATGACAAGGGCATTTACATTCGTCAATTAATTTTTGCAACAGCACGAACACAAAATTGACTATCCGATTTTTTTGGATTTGAACAAGTTCTTCTGTCAGTTAATGGAAGTTCTACAACACTAAATTGTCTTTCACTTCAAGCATTTATTGTTGAAACCGAATGAATTTATGAAAGTACTCTCAAATAACAAGGCGATGTGTCGACATTTGATTTCCAAAATGTAAGAGCCAAGCCTATAGATCTTATTTAAACAAAATGAAGTTAGATCTTGCAATAGAAATACAGAGATTCGGTATAATTTTATAATAGAGAACGATCGTACTGTTTGCTCTGGACATAGGTCCCGACGTGAGACGGAGCTTGGGTGGGCTAGCTCTCCATACTTTTTACGTTGTGTCTGCAAAAAATTTTGAGCTGTTGTTGGAAAACTGTCTGTCAAGTTTAAGAAGATCGCTTTTCTCAGTCACTTTCTATCAGAAAGACTCTTTCCGACTGTGTATCAAATTTTTAGTCCCTTCCACTTCTACAAACTATCGAGAGCCCTGCTTCTCGACTTCTTTTTTGTAACAGGATTTCTCATTGAGTTTTTTCGTTGATTGCTATTTAGAATGATATGTTTCAATTTGGAAAAAAGTGTTACTTTTGTCGACTATATCTATATAAGATGCGAACAAAACTATCAGATTGGATTTGAAATTCTACTTAACGTCTTCTATATTTTTTCCCGACGTCAGTATGTTATTTTAGAGAGAGAACTCGTAGATCGATCATTACTAATATGCTTTATTTATTTTTTTGCTGTTATTATCTCATAAAGGATGTATAATGAAACTTTATTGAAAGTTGTCGATGTCAAATATCACTATTCACAGATGAAATAGTACGTTAACTTGTCAGTCAAGTGTCAGTATGGATTTCACACTTGTTTCATCTCTACAATCTTTACATGAAATTATTATTTATTATATGCTCATAAACTCTGAAATGCAGCTATTTTTACCTAAACGTAATACATAGATCTGTAAAACATGAATCAGTGACTCTCAAAATTGTTCGATCTATCTAATTAACTTTATCAATAAAAACATTCAAACAAATTCAAAAAACCAAAATTTATTTGATCAACTCTGATATTCATTCTCCATAGAAATAACGAAGACAAAAAAAAACGGTTGGACAAAGCGTACATAGATGTATATACACAAAACAGATTAATTATAAAGAAAAGAAATATTTTAAACTCGATACAAACATCTGACACGAAAAAAAAACATGTTAATCATTTTCTTTGTTTTTTTTCTCTTTTATTCCATTCCATATATACAAAAAAAGAACCATCACTGATGACAACACAAAAAATTCATGGACAAACAAGCAAAAACTATATTTGATTGCATGAGAAAAAAAAACAAACAAGACAGTTATTTATAAATATACGATAATAATAAAGGCAGAAGAAAAATATATTTCCAGTGAAAAAAAAAATATATTTATAAGATATTTGATTTTTATGTATAACCACTTGGTTTCCAATGAGTATTTATAAATTCCATTCCATTTCCCATTGCTACTTTGACATCTTTAATAAAAACAAAATTATTATCTATTGACAAAAGAAGAAAAAACCATAATCGAATTCTTACCATCAAGACTTGGTGGTGGTGCATTGGTTTTTCGTAATAATAAACGAACATATAAACCACCATCACGAATTAATGAGATCGCTTCATTATGTGTCATTCCATAGGTTGAACGACCATTTATTTCAATAATTTGATCTCCAGACTAATAATAAATGAATAAAAAAAAACAAAAATGAATAAAAAAAAAAAGACCAATTTTTACTTTCATTCGACCATCACGTTCAGCTAGACCATTTTCAGCTAATTTTAATATAAATAATGGAACTGAAAATTCTCGACCACCACGTATACTAAAACCAAAACTTGAATTTGTAGATGGTCGTTGAAGATTAACAATAAAATAATCATCAGATAATGTCGACTAAATAATAATAAAATTTATTAAAATTTAATTTATTAATTCAAATTATACTTACAGATTTTAATATACCATTTACTTTCGATGAAGGTCGATTTTTATTTCTAAAATACAAGAAAAATTTATCTAAAAGCAAAAAAGTAAAACCTATTATACATACCTTTCTGGTACATTAAGTGGATTATGTGAAAATGCATTCCTTAATGTTTGATTATTTTCATTAGAAATAACCATTGGGGATGATGATGGAATATTATTTGATAAATGTTGAATTTCAAAAGGTTGTCCATCTTTTAAAAGAAACATAAAATTTCAAGTAAAAAAAAAAGCTGTTAGCGTCATCTTTGTAGAATTCCTACCTACTATTAAGGCAAGATATTCAAAGCAATATTTAGCAGTAAGTGTAAAAGATAATTGAAGGACAACTATTATACTAATCTCGCAGTGAACTTTGCTCTTGTGGTTATGACTGTTACAGTCGATGTTGGTCCCTTAAGGAAATTCTCCCTATTTCCAGAGATGAAAACCAAATTTTTTTAAAATTTTTCATCGCTAATACAGCGCCAAAGTGTTCTCTGTCAAATGCTAAATAAATGAGGGACCTTTCTATTCTATACAAAATTCTTCTAATGATTATTTCTCATTTCAAAGGTGCTTAGAGTATAGGTCATGAACCACTATCACCATTGAACCTGGCTAATTTTCGATCAATTTAGTTGGAGAAACAAAGTTCTAATACATACAAGAAAATTTGCTTTTCTCGAAATTAGTTTCTAAACAAAAGAAGTGCACAATTGTCTTCACTTCTTCAGCATAGTTTATTCGATAGAGCTGAAACCTTTTTTTTACAGATACTAGATACTGTTTGAGATGTCTACTTTTTTTTTTGTTTTGAAAAAAATTGTTCTGCTGATGTTTAGTAGATTTTACCAGAAAAAAAATCATATGTTTTTTGGAGTACGCTCCGTACTTCGATCTTTTTTCGAATAGAAGAAAATATAGAGAAACTGAAAACATTAGGCGCCCTAAGTAGTGTCTAGTATGTGTAAAGAAAATTTCAGCTGAAAAAGTAGGGCAAGTTTTAGCTTTTGCGACTTTGATATCTCCTAGAAGGAAGCATTCCGAAATTTTGAGTCTAAGACAACTTCTACTCTACTCATCATGATTTATCTATTCTGAAAAGTTCAAATCTTTCTCATGAGCTGTTCTTCGAAAAGAGGATCCCTTAAAGCCTATCACCATGTCAGAAATCACGATTTTTGTCAAAAAATTCGATTTTGACGCGAGCATATAACCCTCAATGTCTAATACAATTTATCGAATTTATTATGCTTTCTCATGCTTTGTTTTCTATATCGTATTGCTAAGAAAGAAGCTTGGGTTTCTAAGTCAAACTTTGTTCTGCTTTCTTATACCAAAGATTTCTTGGGCGGATTTACATGTTAGAAAGCTCGGGAAAGTTTTAAATTGAAGAGAATGTAGATGCATCCTGATTTTTCGAATTTTTTTAGAGGAAATTTTATCAAAAGTAAAGAAACAATATTTTGAAATATTGAGCACTATTACATTTGTAGCGGTAGGTCTTGGTTACATTTTAAAACTAATTCTAAATCTGTATCATTTGATTTTGAGGAGAAATCCGTGCCACGTGAAGATCTATTTTTGGAGCTTTGACGTTATGATAACTCATGAACAATTCAATATTTTCGGCCAAAGTTTCTACTGTGAAGACCTGAATATTTAATGATGTCCGTTACGGTAGAACGGAGAGAGCCCAAATTTCTTTTCCTATACTTCAATACTTGTTTTAGATCATGTTTCACAAAAAATAAAATAATTTACCATAATGAATCGGTGGTCCGATTGTAAGTGTTATAGTTCGACCAGATTCTTTGATTAAATTAACAACATCTGTATGAACCATATGAGATAAATCAACACCATTAACAGCTAATATACGATCATTTATATGAAGTTGACCACAATGATCAGCAGGACTATTACGAATAATTTTACCTAAAATTAATTAAAATTTATTTTAAATTTTATTTAATAAAATTCGGAATTTATTTTTAGTTTTAATTAACAATTCTATTTCTATTGGAAAACAAATGCAAAAATAAACTACATGGTATTATTTATACAAGAAAAAAAGACTCATGCAGTTGTTAATTTTATTAGCAACCATATTCGATGTGATCTTTCTAAGAAATGGAAAAAGAAATATAGAGATTTTTTCTTCAATTGATATAAATATTACACATGATAATATTTTAAAATATGAATAATGATATATAGTATATCTTAAATATTAATTAGAGAAACGATTCATATTACCGTTTGATTTACATAGTGATCTACAAATTCTTTAAGAAATTTTAAGACTTATCGACATTGTTTTCTGAACTTATAATGATTTTAATAAGATTTCAATCTTTAGCGAAAAAAAAATCAAAATATAAAATTTTATTCATAATTATTGATGATATTCCACAAAAAAAGAAAAATACTTTAAGAAAGAAAACTATTCTAATTGAAATTCCTAAAAATGTATAACCAAACTTTTATCTTTTGAGCATTTTGTTGAATCTCATCAAGGATTTGCCTATCCTAAAAAATAGATAATTACAACAGGTTTTTGCAAAACTCAACCCATCTTGTTTATAAAATTCTATTTCAATTATTCATATAATTTCCATGATCTCTAAATTCAAGGTTTATTTTTTTGCTAATCAATTATTCCCAATCTGAACAATACTACATAACGAGCGATCATAGCTTTATCATATTCTATAAAGACAATTTTTTTTATGCATGCATACACATCTAACCTATCCAAGTTTTGTAAATATTATTGTTTTCCATTTGTTCCCGTAGATTCTCTCGATTGACATCTGTTTATATACAATTAAAAAAAAACATAAAAAAGCTAAAAAAAATATCATCCTTACCAACAATAGTACCAGCTTTATTTTGTGATGAAATAATTACAAAACCAAAACTTTCATTTTCATTTGTTTTTTGTAATGTTACATAATGTACACCATTATCTACTACTGGTGATTTTATATGAGAATTATCAGGATATACTGGATATGAATCGAGATTTGTTTGATGATAAGAATTACTTCTAGTATTTAAATTTGTATGACGACGTACAATTAAACAAACATGTTTATTTTCTTTTGCTCGTTGCATAAGTTGAACAACTTTTTCATGCGAAGCACGTATTGTTGAATGACCATCGATTTTTATTATTTCATCACCAATATGAAGACGGCCATCAATATCTGCTGGTGAATTAGGAACAATATGACCAATACATACTTGAGATTTTTCTTCTTCACCACCTAATATTCGTAAACCAAAACCATCACTATAAAAAATAATAATAAAAGAAAAACAAGATCCATTGTTTTTATAAATTGAAATAAATATAATTATTACGTTAAACGTAAAATTGTTAAATTAACAACTAATTCAGTATATTGTGGATGAACTGATTGTAATGATCGACTAGAAAGAAAAAAACGAAAACATAAATAAAATTAAAAAAAAGTCAAAATTTTATAGAAATTAATTTTCAAACCTATTTGGTAAAGTATTAGAAGAAAATTCATAAGCCGTTGGTGTTTTACTTCTTGGTTTCATTGTATTAGCACGATAGGATGATGATGTTGTTGCACCAAATTCAGGTCCAGGAGTTTTACTACGTGATAATAGCACATTAGTGGGTCGTGTATTATGTGATAAAGTTGTTGGTTGATTAAATGAATAAATTGGATCAGAAGAAAATTCTGTTTGAGCTATTGGTGCTGATCTTTCAATAGTATTTGGAATAGAAAAATTTATATTATTATTTGTTGTTAATGTCGTTGTTTTGCTTGGTAATGGAGTTCGAGAACGCAGTGGAGGTATCTCAGATAATGGTGCAGTACTATATGGTGTCGGAGTTTTACTACGAGGTTTTTCTAAATATTTTAAAATGAATAATATGAAAAAAAGAAAGTTTTTTTGTTATGAATTTTTTTTTACCATTTATTTTTGATGGAAGATAACGAATATCTATTTCATCATTTTCCTGAAAATTGAAATTTAATTTTTTAGTTTAAAATCATGTGTGTATGTTTATATTCTTTTTTTTTTGTATATTTTATTACATTATTCATGTCTATTAAAAAATGCGAGCAACAACATGTCTTCATCAGTCGCATATATTTTTTTTTCAAGCATTTATTTATTTTGTTAATTTTAATTTTCAAAAAAGATTGCAGATCTAGACTCGTTGTTTTCGAATTCTAGTCAGCAATCATTCTAACAAATATTAGAAACAACAACTAAAATTGAATTTGAATTCAAACACTGCATTTATTGGTATTATGAGTAAAATGATTTGTTGTTTTTGTTTACAATCACATTCTTGATTAATGAAATTCTATTCGAGCGACAAATAACGCCAGTCAAAAGAATTATGAAAAACATAACACATTTCATAGGATAATGTTAAATGAAACGATAAATTTTCCTAAAATCTTAGAGCAGAAATTGTCATAGAATTTATAATAAATTGTTGTTTTTTTTTTCTTTATCTGAACAATTGATTACTCCAGAAACATTTCTTATCCTTTACAAGTAACAGACATAAAACTATTAATACGACATATTTGATTTACTAGAAATTTTAAATACATCAATCAAAGATAAAACGAATAACGCATGAGAAATGTCCTGACATATTCATTTGTTACATCTGTAAAATTCAATTAAATAAAAGTAGGACTCACATTAATCATTACAATTGTCTTTCTATATTGAAAAATGATAGATTATCACGTAAATATTCATACTGACAAAAGTGATGTACCTCGTATGAAGTAAAAGTCTATGACAACAAAAACTTTGCTAGTGCAATAGGTTAAAAATGTTCGCTAAAGAAAATTTAAACCTTGTTTTGTAATAATCTCTGAAGTGTATATCAAAATAGAAAAGTGCATCTCTGTTAGAATACAGTACAACAAAGAGTCATGCATATATACATCATTGAAATATAAGTGATAAAGGAAAAGAAATAAGCATGCAAAGAAGAGATGTTTTTTTTTTTAAATTTAAATTTGATCACCTTATTCTCTTTATTGTTTGTTAAAAATGAAACATGCTTTTCGGTGATGATTGATCGATTATTAGGCTATAGATAAATATATTTTGTATTTTTTTTTCTTCGTACAAATATAGATTCTATAAAATTTTTAAAATTTTTAATTTATACCTGAATATTTTTATCTAAATAATTGTTAACATTTATCGCCAATGGATTATTATTAACATCTGGATCACCTTAAAAATAAAAAAAAAATAAGAGATAAATTATTTCCATATAAAAACTGTTAAGCAAAACAAATAATAATAATAATAATAAAGAAAACTAATAATATACCTTTCTTTGTTCCTTTCCTAACACGAAACTTCAACATATTATTAATCTTTTATGTCTACACACGATCTACTTTCACAGTGAATAAATAGTTCTTCATTTCTTAGAGAAAAGAGAATGCCACCCGCTACCAAACCCAAAACAACAATACTCGTTCTTCACATTTCTTCTGCTTTTGCTATTGGCAGGTGGCACATGATGAATATTACTCTTGATATTTAAATTTCTTCTCAGAAGCATTACTGGACAATAGTTTTTTTCAATATTTGTTCTAAAAATTCTGGTAATTCGAAGATGAATATGAAAAAATGGATTTTCAAAAATCTTGATAAATTCAAAAATTCAATCAAAAGTAAGAATCTATAAAAATAAAGGTACTTTTAATGATCGAAACTTTGACTTATTTAAAGTCAATATTCCGAATCTTATTGAATAATAATGAATTTACTATATAGAATTTCTCAACCTTGGCAACATTATAATTTTTAATCCGATCACGTCTTTTCAGATTTAATCGAAGGTAAATCTAGGGTTTCGGTAAATATGAAAATTTTAGAACCTGTCTATTAGCTGCACGGGAAAAAGAGATAGGGAGAAAAAATAGGAAACTATGTGCCAAAAAAAGCCTTCAGAGTATTAAATATTTTTTTTCATCAGATTTTTATATTCCATGAAACAATCATAGATTTAATAATTATTCTTCGACAGTTGGACAAATAGAAATCATCTTAGCAAAGTATAGCTTTTTTTTATCGATAAATATACATTAAATATATTACACTCTTATTTATTTAAAAACTGCTATATATTATATATTTATATTGCATTATTGAAGCAAATTGGTGAATTCATCTAGCGCTGTGTAGCGTAGAATGAACTTTTCCATGAAGATTCTTCATTTATAATATCAACCAGTTCTTATCTTATGAGAAAGATTAACGAAATCATTGATATTTTTTTGTTCTATTTCTTAATTGTCTGTTGAATATATTTTTATAATTATAAAATAGTGTAACATTTCGTTATGGTAAGCAACTTCTTTAGACAAAAAAAAACAGCCAATCAATTTACGATACATACACTAAACAATACGTTTTACATTAGAATATATACAAAACAGACGATTATTTTTCTTAACTTGATTACTGATACGAAACCAGATGGTAACAGATTGGACAGATGAATCATTTCTGTATCACTATTGAAGTTATGAAGAAAAAGAGATAGTAACACAACAATCTGTTTTGTATTGTAAATATATAGTATTCTTTGTCTGAAGAAGTGACTTACCACAGTTATGTAATAATTAAAATAAAAATATATTAAATAATCAATTAAATAATTAAGAAAGAAAATAAACATATCTTCGCATATCAACTAGTAAAAATAAATAAATTTAGTTAAGTATTGATGGAAATACGATCGACTATATGCCTTCAGTGTTAAGAAAAAAAACAGCTATTAATAAATACACCCTTCGTAATAATAAGATAATATTTAAAGAAACCAAGTGATACCGAAAATTTGAAGAGATATCATATATTTTTTAAGAATGTATTCCGCATGTTTTTTCTTTTAAGAACATTAGCTTTTATCATCAGATAATATCTTCACACTATATTAGTAATATTGATAAGTATTACTTATCAATCATATCAGTTAACAGTCTTAATCGTAATTATATAAGAAAATATTTGCTTAGGTTTTGAAACCTCAAGTTCACCGCAGAAAATCAGAAGCATTCAAATGATTTTTCATCGAAGAGTTTGAAAATGTTGGTATTACTATTGTAATAAATTTTACATTATCTATGACAAAATAATATATTTTTTTCCTTTCAATTAAATTTAAAATAATATTACAATAAAATACTCTTTATGATCTAATCTATAAGGGTTAAAACAATTCAAATAGATGCATGTAGTAAAAAGAACTATTGGTAAAGGAAAATATGAAATATATTTTTTGTTTTTCTTCCAAATATCTCTAAAATTCATTTAAATAAAGTACCTCTTCGAACAACAAATGTTGTTTCCATATCTTTTACACATTTTTGAAGTATATCAACAATATCTGCATGTTGTTTTCCGATTAAATCATGTCCATTAATTGATAATAATAAATCATTTTCACATAAATTTTGACAACGTTGTTTATCAAAAATAGATTTAACTCGTTGTCCTAATGGACTATCAACAACAGTAAAACCAAAACCTTGATTACCTTTTCGAATTTTAATTGTATATATATTTGTATGATTTTCTGGTTGATATTCTCTATAACCACCATTAGGTAATTGATGAATACCATTTACTGAAACAATATCAATTTGTGGATCATTAATATTAACTGTAAGTGGATAACCACGACAAACAGTTAAATGTATAATATCACCTATTGATAATGATTGAAATAATTTAACAACATCTGTATGACTATAACCCAAAACATTTGTATCATTTATATAAATGAGTATATCACCTCGTTGAAGTTTGCCATCTTTAGCTGCTGGTCCATCAGGTATAATATCTTTTATTTGAAGAAATTGTTCACCATTTTCATGACCATCAATTATTGTAAAACCAAAACCATGTTGACTTTTTTTTAATAAACATTTTATGAATTCACCAGATAAATGTTTAGATATATTTTCATTTAAATATTGATTATTAAAAAATTCTGGATCATTATGTTGAAACATTTGATTAGCTGAATTACTTCGTCGTACAATATTAGTATTTGTTATAAGCGCTTCTTTTGTTGGACGTGGTGTTCCGTAGTAATGTCCTATTAGAAGAAGAACAAGAAGAAGAAAAAGAAAAAAAAACAACAAAAAATATTTCTTTTGTCTTCATTAAACAGAACTGCAAAAAAAACACAATACAAACCTTTATATACTCCACTTTCAAGTAATTTGCCACTTTTCTCTAATGCATGAAAATCTTTTACACTTAAAAATGTATAATCTTGTCCATTTATTTCACCTGGTCGTGGTGGACGTGTGGTGCCTGAGGGTAAAAAGGAAGAAAAAATAATTTCATTTTATAATAAATTTTTACAAAAGAATTATTTACAAGGCACTGTTCTCATGTAAAGATTATCACGTATAGTTTGTTGAAGACCATGATCAATTGAATTCTTTTCAAAACGTCCATCAAGAAATTGACGAAGATCTTTGGTTAAGCCTGTTGAGAAAATATAATATATACAATAAGAATTAATAGATTTCTAATTTAAAACAGAAAGAAAAACCAACGAAAAAAAACTTAGTCTCGACCTTGTAATTCATCGAATACAGAATTATTATTCGTTGTTGTATTTCCTACATTTGGAGATATTAACGATAAATTATCATAAGATGAATGAATCATAACGTTCACATTTGACAACATTTTACTTGTCAAATATTACCAAGGAAAAATAATTATACTTATATATTACTGATGAGAATGTATAACATCAACACTCACAACTCAACTCAATACGTATATATGTATGTATTAGATAGGAATGGTAATAGTATAAATGATGCAACGAACCCACTCGTGCGATGACAATATCGACAAAAACTGAATAGAAGAAGAAAGAAGAATAGATGATGGAAAAAAAGGGAAACAACGGTATGTCTAATATGATAGCATGCAGTTAACATCAGCAGGCCATTGTTCTGTCAACGACTTGTTTACATGGTCAGCCGTTGGCGTTTGATTATTGTTCTTTTTAGTGATGATAAGACAAGACAAGATGCAGAGATGCAGAGTTCAACCCGCCAACATGACGATTGCGACTAGTCTGAGCACAGCATGTCATAATGAAACATAAACATACGTCATTGATCGACACAGACGGTAATAGTCAGTCATTCATTTCTTTTTTCTTTATTCTTAGAGAGCTTCATCGACTTAAATTAACAGCAAAAGCAAAAAAGAAGTCCTCATAAAAAAAAAATCATCCGAATATGTGAATAGTTTTCCCGATTATTTATATAGATCGTTCACGTACGCATGATCATACTATCAAGATAATACTAAACGAATCCCGTTTATTTTCTCATTTCTTCGCATAATTTATAATTGCATAGCACTTGAGTACCATTCTCGTTGACTTTCTTTCTTTAATATATTGTCCTCGATTTCATCACTCATGGCCGATCGAGTCATTTGAGAACGAAGGACAATGCAACAAATGCAATCATGCTATGAGTATAGCATTAATTCTATTCGTCTGTCAATATTCATCATCAATATGTCCTTCTTACAACTGTTTTCTTTTTATCTAATATATCAAAGAAAGAAAAAGAAAACGACAGCCTTTATCTTTTCATAGAGATATCATAACGAGTAAATTAAAAGAAGATTAGAACATATGATGTCATCTCTATTGACAATCAACTATGCAACAAACCATTGATGTTATTATTAGCAAAGAAAAGAATCTTAATTATGCATAAATAAAACGAATAGCAATACTTATATACTGTTAATTTTTAATTTCAATGATGAATATACATGATAGACAAACTGATCGATTGGTACCAATGAAAGAGTATTGACCAAATTCTTTACTTTTTTTTGCTGTCATTGGAGAAAGAAAAAGCGAAAAAAGAACAATTCATTCTTTCAAGCGACTAATGTAGTTTGAGTTTACACAAACTAAAGAAGATAATCATCAATTTTTCTTTAAGTACTATGTAAATCGTCCATATGAACATTAGAAAAAAAGAAACATACATACCTGATTGAACAGTTTTTAATTTAATTGGCTTTCCATTAGTAGAAAGTGTTTCAATAAGTAATTGAACATCAACTAATGTATAACCAGCAATATGATATTGATCAATTTCGAGAATTATTTCATCAAAATCAATTTTACCACCTTTTATTATATTTGTTGATGTATTATTTTTTAATAATGATATAGAATCATTAAAATAAACAAATTGTCCATTATCAGAACCACCTGCTAAAGGAAGTTGAATTGTATAATTATTATCATTTGATACTAATATTGTTTCATGACAAGTTTGTGCCCAATGTTTTCTTGGTAATATTGGTGGAGATGTTAATGCTAAATGAGTAGGTGATAAATGAGGTTTTGTTGTATTAAATGTCGATGTCATTGATTAAAATAGATTACTATAATCTATGAATATAAGATTTTTTTTTCATTGATAAATGTCAAGATCATATCTTCAAGCTAATGATTTACGTACATTATATAACATTGTCGTCAATGCGACTAGTAGTTAGCATCTGAAAATGATGATTGTTATGTCAATATTTGGTTTTTTCTTCAACATTGAAAAGACAATATGAAATTTTTATTATTGAATAAAATAGTGTTTAAAAAAAAAGACGAAAAAGAAATCCCATCAATACTATTTCCATGAAAGGAGAGAAGAAAAAAATGAATTGTGAACTATGCAAACATTCTCTTTGACCTTGACATCATCGAGTGTCGACAATAATTTTTGTGATATGACCATCAAATATATGTGCACTTAACGGAGAAAAAAAGAAAAATGGAACATAAATGACACGAGAGATGGTTACAAAATAAAAGATCAAATATGTATATTAATGTGCCATCCTAGAGGAAAATAAAGAACGATTGTACTCACTGTACTGTGATCGATTCCTTTCTTTCTTATTATTTTTTTCTTTCATACGCAATTCATCATCATACAAAATCAACAATAGAATGATAAGCATCTGAAAATTGAGCTACCAACAGCTGCTATCGCTTTAAAACTCGACTATTCTTCATCAATATGTTGATGCGTACAACTATATATACTCATTCTCGTCTCTGTTTTTTTGTTCGCTATAACATTCAATGTTAGTTTCATCTACGTATAAGCAAGTGTAATCATGTTAACACATAAGCACTTAATTCTCTGTTATGTCTGTTCATGCAACAAGTCTTGATGATGCATATTTTTATTCTTTTGTTTCTCAAGAGACTGACAAAAGAAGCAAAAAATTATATTTAGGACGTCAATATAACAAACCTCAAAAAGAAAAAATAATACAAATTGCCGAAGACAGAATGAATTTCTCATGATAATTTCTCGAAGAAAATAATTACAAAACTATTCATCATGCTGCTTGAATTGTCATTAATATGAAATCGATGAGTATTCTTTCGATGATCTAGAACGGAAAAATAAAAAAAAATTGATTTAGCGAATGAACAATTTATCTATTTCTCGTTTTATATGTGTCTATTGATTTGTTGTTCAATCATCAAAACAAATAAAAAGGATTTACTATCGACAAGCATTGACAACAAGCGAACGAGAAGATTACAAACTTTATTTTTTTCTTCTTCTACGAAATCGAACGATGAAAAACAAATAGATAAAATCATTATTTTTTTTCTGTAGTTTTTATCTTTGCAAAAAAATTCTCATTAATCAATTTAAAAGAAAATAAATGAGCAGAAAAAGAAAATATATATGTAACATAGAATGAACAAATACTATATGCAAAGAAAAAATAAATAAATAAATATATATCGCTTCTGCGGAAAAAAAAGCATTGAAAAAGTTAAAAATACAATTGAAGAAATAAAACTAATAACGTAGAATATTATGTATTTGGAAGACGAAGCTTGAACGAATAGAATTCGATGAAGAAAAGAAAGACATATTGGTAATGAAATATTTATTCTGATGTTAATTCATAATATTTGCCTGTATTTGGATCGTAGAAACGTTTGAGTGTTGCATCATAACATAATTGAACTAACTCATTATCTGTCGTTGATTCAAGTGGCTCATTCTTATCAAAAGAACTTGGCTTTTTTATTGTATCTGTTGAATTTAATTTCAATTTGAAAGTTTGTTCAATATCCATACAATTTCCTCCAATAGTATTATCATCTGTAACAATCGATGCTATTAAAGTTGGTATTAGAGCATTAGTGCTTGAACGTCTTTCATGTCGATAATCTTGTGAAAAACGTATTCGTGCTGCTAATTCTTCGTCAGATTTAATTGTACGTGGTGATGATTTAGATGTTGTGGAATCTATTGGACTAGGAACAACATATTCGTATTTACTTACATCTAATTGTGTTGATTGATTTTCTGATGAAACTTGATTTGGAAGCCAATCATCTTGTAATTGAATATTAGCAAGAATAGCAGCTAATTGCATTGAATCAACCATTTCGGCTTCCATATCATTTGGTAATTGAGAAATTTGAATTGAATTTAGAATATTAGAATTTGTAGGCAAAATTTGACTTTGATTATTTGTTCGAATAATTGGAGTTGCGTGTATTTCCAGTCGATTATTATCTGGTATTGATGATGAATTTTGTTTTTCTCGTGGTGATAAATGACGAAAAAATGAAACAATTCTTCGTCGTTGAACAACTTTGGGAACTTTAGATTTTTCTTGTTCTTTAATAAGATCATTTAAAGAATCTCTTTGTTGTTCATCACATTTTAAAACATGATTTGTTGAACGTTTTGTTTGTATAGAATGATGGTTATCATCATTATATGAACGTGGTGTTAATGATCCATTAGCGGATGATGGTTTTTGTTTATTTAATTTTGAACGTGGAGAATTTCGATAGGAACTTTCATCGGGTGCTGATGATATACGTTGACATAACTTATTATTATGTGGATATTTTCTATTTCGTTCAAGTTCACGTGGCGGATTACTAAATGTATAGATTTGTTTTGAAGATTGTACTGATGTATTTTCACTTTTATTAGAACCATAATGTGATATCGTTGAACTTTCTGACGTTAAAGAAGATTGTGTACTAGTTGAATTTTTTGATAATGATTCACGTATAGATGGTATTGGATTGAGAAAATGATTGGCTTGTAATGGAACATGACAATGATCATTTGTCATTGCATTTATTGTTGATGACGTTCGAATAGTTCGTCGTGGAAATGATGTCAAAACATGATTACTTTGATAGGTAGTTGTGGACATAGTACATCTACTATTTTATTTCGGCTATACCGACATAATAAATATAAAAAGAAAACAAGAAAAATATTTTTATTTATTTATTTTCTTATTTCGTTTTATATGATGTATGTTTGTCAGAGGCATACAGGGACGGATCGATGATGAAAGTGTGACGCATTAAGAAAAGTTTTGCTTTTCTTTTTTCTTTTTCTTTCTGTTTTTTTTTCAAGTTTTGAAAATTATTAACAACCAACAGAGTTGAATATATTTTTTTTATATCTTTTATCACTCTTAAAACTTAGAATATACTCATTATTGAGATTTTTTGTTTCTTTCTTCTTCCTCAAAAATAATATCTTTTTTATTGGTTAATAGAAGAAACCAGCCGTTCATAGACGTTAAATGTTCAATAATCTGTTCAGATATTTAATGACATCTATCGAAGATGAAAATTTATGTTTCTAAGTGATATCCCAATATTAACAATTCACTTCGGAATTTGGCGTTTTTTAATAAAAACAAGATCATTGTTACTTAATAAGCGCTTATGAATGAAAAAAAAACGTCGATTAAATTGAATTGAACATAACACAAAAAAAAAAACTCGACAGTGCGATCCCATGAGAAGTTAACGTATAGAACTCACAACCTCTGACTATTGTGAATGCATGGCATACTGCCAGAGAGATAAAAATAATTTATTTAAGAAAAAAAATTTATGCGGTACAAAGTGCAGCAATTCTGTAGTCGATCATGTACACAAGCCGCCTCCATACTTTGCATATTTTTCACTGCAACAAGATCCGTACTTTCTGTCGCGATGATCTAGAGAATAGCGAGTCAACAAATGCGTCGATAGACAATGTTTTACTGTTTTATTCACACATTGAAGAAGACAAAAATTATTTTATTAGTGTGGATTTGTAGGAAATCTTTTTCCGTACGAAACTCTTATATTTAAAATCAAAACTGATTATACCTCCTAAGCTCTTTATCTTTGCTACGCTATAAATAATAGAAGTAACAAAGCTTATTTCAGTCCTAGCAACACATCTACAAAGACATGAGGCGTAAAAATTTGCTATATATTTAATGAGATATGCACTTAAGCTATTGCTAGGACTATAGTAAGCTTTTTACTCCTGCTATTCGTAGGGTAATAAAGATACATAACTTAAGTGATATAATTCTTTTAGATTTCAAATATAAGAGTTCCCCTACGGCAAAAGATTCTCTACAAGTCCATGTTATTGAAACAACTTTTTCCTTCTTCGATGCATGAATAAGACAGTACAAGAACTTCCATCTATGATTCATGTATATATACAAGACGATTAAAACAATTTTCCAACGTGAAACATCTATTCAAATAGAATATCTGATGCAGTTTATAGTGTTCTAGCTAATGATATATTGAACAATAAAAAACTAGCTAAAAATTTTTAGGAATTACTATCAAACCATATTCGATAGTCAAAACTTTTATTGTTGTGAGTGCTGATAGTGGTCATTACTGATTAAAAACTGAAATATTATCGCTTGACAGCTTCAGTAATTTTCTATGTATTGATATCTTTCAAACTCGAATATAATTCCATGTGATATTGCCTTGCAATGAAGTTTGAAGAAAACTACTGTTTTTTTTTACGACTGTAGAAAAAATCGTTGCCTAAGCACGTTAATATATTAACTCTTGTCGATAATTTTAAACGGCGATATACTGTTTTCGCTCCTATTTCGTTTATCATGCTTAGAGTTGGATGGAAAACAAAAAAACTTCTTTGGAAACTAAATTTGTGTTCTCAAGATGAATTTTATCTTTCCCTCTCTCCTTATCTACACAAAGGGACAAGTTAGAAACAGAGTAGAAAACTATGACTGTACTGCATGCAAATGGTACTTTTTTAAATTCCTGAAACAGAGTCCGTTTGTTGAATATTACTTGCTTTGAAAGAACCAGTTTTCTCTAAATTTCACTGGAAGACAATCTCACACAGAATTATGTTTGAGTTTGAAAAATATCAATATATAGAAAATTACTGAAGCTGTCAAGCGATAATATTTCAGTTTTTAACCAGAATGACCGCTATCAGCACTCATGGCAATAAAAGTTTTGTGACTATCGAACATGGTTTGATTAGAAAACCAAAGACTTTTGAATAAAATCGAAAAGTCTCTAAAACACAAAAATAAGAAATCATTTAAAATGGCATGATTTTAGTCGATGTTAAGAAATCTCTCTGAATTCCACCTGAAACAATTTGAAGATGAGCCAACTTAGGATATTTCGATGCTTCCTAAGAAATGCAAGATAAATGGATAAGGTTCTTAGTGATTGAAATTTCTTGGAGAAAATTGTCAGAATGAAAAATGTTGTAAAACAGTCTATCGAAAAAATTTTATCGAATTACATTCGATCGAAACTGTTCATCAGAAAGCTTATCGTCAAAAAATGTTCGTTCATTTCAGCTAGAGAGCTGAAACTTTGAAAAATCAAAGGCCTTGATTAGATATATGTAATAAGAATTTCAGCCTTCTACGTCAGGAAAAACTATGAAAAATGTCGTTGACAGTTTATCCTCAGTTATTATAGGACATCCTGTATGCCAATGATCGAATGAAATGTCGTTATCATTATTAATAATAAGATTTTCAACGAAAAAATTACCCATTCGATATATGTGATATGAGTTCAAAATCGAGGTATTATCTAACGAAATTCCATCGTTCGTAAGTTATATTTACATGTCTTAATAAGTCAGTTGGAAGTTTTCCTCACAATTGCGCAGTGAGACCAATAATTGTCAAGGACGTCATCTTTTTTTCTTCTCACTACTTTCTCTGTCGTGTTGTATACGTATTAGTTAAAAGAAAACCTATCATTCTTTTTCCCTCACTATTTGACAAGTTAAAAAAGCAACAGGAAAGGAAGTACAGAACAGCATGTGTCATGATTATTATTAATTAAACGAAAAAAAACGATACCATCTGCAACACTACTGTGAGCACGTTTCGATATTATTTGTGTGTTGGTCTCTCACTGTCTCTTGTCTACCTGTAATGTGTAATTTTGTATTGCTCTCCAGCTGAATATCTTCCATACACAATAGAGATTCCATAAGATAGACAAATAATATGTCTGAGAGGAATTTTTTCGATTTTGAGTATATACAGCGAAGACCATAGAACTGTATCGGGAAATCGAAAATTTTTCCGTTTAAGATTGTAAAGAAAACAACTACTACGGCAAACTTTATTGTTCGATGCATCTCCACTATTGCTCGAAATTGGAGTGCAGCTCCTATTTTCCCATTTTTCTCAATAACTGAATGGAACCGGTTCGTTCACATTTTATTTGATAACATATGGGTTACCCTCTAAAGACCATAATTGGTAAATTTTATATCTGATCAAAGTTTGAAGCTATCTTAGGTAATGATTAAGTCTAAAAGCTGCGAAAACCAAGGGTAATAAGACACATTCTTTGTTTCTAAGTCCTTCTTGACTAATCTTGTAAAATTCACGAATACTTTTTATTTGATTTTCTGACACTTTAGAAGTTTCATCTTATCGAATACAATTTTGTAAACATGACTTATCTTTTAAGCAATGTTGCCTTCTTTTTAAAGATATATGGTATCGATGTTTAAAAAATACGGTAAGACAATCTCAAAACTTAGTTGGATTGTTAGGCAGTGTAAAGAAATACCGCTGGAATTTCTTTCCCTCTATCTGTCTCTTAACTTTGTATTCTTTTCAGTACATGTTTGTTAGAATCGGAGTGTTCTCCTTCGTTTCTAAACGGAAATTAGATGTATCTTCTAGTCCCATTGCTTTAGAACATCTGTCCGGATGGCAGAAGATACGTGGTTGAAGTCCCATGAATGATTGTCCTTTTTCTCCGCTATTTTGTCATTTCACTTCGTTGCTTAGCGCCAATCACTCTGTAACATCTAGAGCTTACAATACTCATTTGCATCGATCTAATTCTTTCGCTCTTTACCTCCGTTGTTTGTGGAATGAGAACATTTTGTCCGTGAAATTCTCATTCGAAAACCTTGCTCTCATGAAGATGCTCTAAGTGCGCTCCCATAAATATAAGTCATGAATAATTTTTGTTATCTACAGGGGACAGATATTTTCTAGGAAGCTCCAGCCTTCCCAGAGAAGATTCAGTCTTCTTCCAGTTACGCTACTACAGTAGTATGTATTTTTCTAGAGTCTTTTGTTTATTTTACGTTGTTCTGTAGGATAAATATTCGTTCCGAGGCGGATGCGACTGTGAGTATGAAGGAAAGATCCACGCACACATCTCACATTTACATCCACTCACAGTCAACAAATAGACAGAATTATTTCTCCTGGAAAACATATTTTTTTATCAAAAGTTTCTATCCATTTTATCAGTGACCATATTCAGAGTGTCTTAGAATTATAGGAGACTCCTTTCGTTTGGTTCGTATGTTTTGGTTTTATTTTTTTAAGAAGTAATGTTGTCGCCATGTTGATTATATGCTTATATAGACATGTTTCTCGTGTATCGTTTCCTACTGTTCATTTTCTTTATCAACTATTCTATGCGAAAGAAATGTGGTAAAAACGAAAACAACAATCATTGTCCAAATATTATAGGACACTTCAAAATAAATGGCATAAATTATTTTTTCAATTATTTTTGTCTATACTTTTGTCGTTTGGTCTCAAATGTGTATCTCAGGTACATGTGTTACTATTCTATGTGTAGTTAAGGTGTCAACCACAAACAGCTAGAATTTGCTAATAAAACAGTAATTGTATCTCACGTAATCATGTGTGAGTGCAACAAATTTTTGTAGTGGTGTTTATTTCACAATCGTTTCTCATTTCGTTTGAATTGCTGAATGTTAGTTAGTTGCCTGTCAAACATAGATTACAGATGACAACATCTTTGACAGTCTTCATGATCACGTAATCAGCTACCGGAGGAAATTTGGTTGAATGAGCCTGTCGATGAATGCACACTAATGGTAGCACATCAATAA